AATACAAACTAACTACTCTACATATACAACAATCTTATTTGCGTTACATAGATGTTGATGAGATATAGGTTTACTATGTCAAATAACGTGGCACTTAATCAAATGAAAAACGATATATATATACAATTTGTTCTAATTTAAAAATCGATAAGTTTTTTTTGTTGAACTGTTCGAATAATATTTATATTCAATTGTGTTATTTTGAAGTACTTTCACTGAATGAATTTTTTTTGTTTCTGGTACTGTCTTTATTGATTGAAAAATTTTTTCCATTTTTACCTTTGAATTTTCAATATGAATATCTTCTAATTCAATAACATTGATACTATCTGTTTTGGATTGAGCAATTTTTACAAATTGAGCTGCTGAACTACATTGTTGTCCACTAAGTATTGCTCTATAAACAAGACGTTTAATTGTACCTCCCACACCATCAACCACCCCCTTACCATGGGAGGTGGCGAAGTAATTCCAAGTTAATTCAACAATCAATCGGTTAGCAGCACAGCCTTCCTGTCTACTAAGAGACAAGATGCTCTTTATCTGCGTCTATAGTATTTTTTGCATCAATTTCGACGCAAGAGAAAAAGAGTTTAAGAGTGAAGAAGAAACTGGTTCGTATACTATGGTTGCATGAAATTGAGATCTTTGCTGGCGCACAAAGGGGAAACTATGAATTTTATATAAGGACCAGCTATATTTCTCTGATTTGCACAAAGAGAGCAACGTTAGTCTGAAGTGTTAGCTTGATTCTTGATCCAATCAATTGTAATTATATTCGTTAGACTAAACCATACGCACTTTTTTTTCACCTTAGACTCGTATAAATCATCTTCTTTGTTTTATCATAGATTCTCTTGTTGTCTTTCAAACAAACTTAAGAACAAGTATGGAAAAAAGACTATAGGTTCGACTATAAACTTGACTAATAGTTTTTTAAAATTATTATACAGAAGAAGATCATGATATAATTTTCATATTGACTATTTCAGAGTAGTCTTTTTCTTGTCCTTTGTGACATTTTTGAAAAGTCTAATGAAAAGTTTTACTGGATTTGAACGGAAACTAGACAGATTTTACATGTATTGGATTTATCTGATCTTTGCTCGTATATTCGAGATCCACATCGAGTTCCGCATATCTATTCCCTTTGTTTCTAGTTGTTTACCTTTTCCCTGAGGATTCAATTGTTGCCTCCAAGCGCTTTTTCTTGAATTGTGAAAGTCGAGTAATATTTATTCTTTCGCAGCAAAAAACTAGTTCAATCATTACTAAGTCTAGACACATGGCTCGTGAGATATGCATCAATACCGGTGACACAAAAGAGCTCTTCTGTGCCATCTTTCTCTGTCCACGAAAGAACAGCAAAAACCAAAGTAACATCGATTAGAATGAGCCCGTGATATTTTCCCATTAATCATGTCTATTTTATTAAATGAACCGTGTAGTAAATTAATATAGCCTAATCGGCTAGCATATCGTCCCTACTCTTTGATAAAAAATCGATAGATTGTTTACTTATGTTTTTTTTTGTATTAATCTTAATGCGTAGACTACTATTGATCAGTGCTGAAAGAATACTGTTGACCGTGAAACTAAGACTTACTACATATTGGATAAAATAAAAAGTGCGCAAGTGCGCCTTCGAAGCTAGTGCCTTGGATCAATTATAACAATATATTCGACGCCGGGTTTTAATTTGTAGTCCGATTCATCCTTCTATGAATCAATATTAGAGCCATTGTGCAAAGCATTTAAGATTTATCATCTATTTGAACTGTATAAATGATCATACTAGTTGTCACGATTTGACTTGCATTATTTTATCAGAATCAGTCGCTTCTGTAGCCCAGAATGTTCAATTAACGATATCGAATGGTTGTGGATTTATGTCTTCTTTCCATCCTCATGAAATATTCACATCTATACCCTTACTTTCCATATCCATATATGCTTCTCTTAAAGGAATAAGTCTCAATATATTAAATAAATGAATTGATATTGATTACGCATGAGCATAAATTTTGATTCCAGTGTTTTTCAGATATCTAATCCAAGTATACATGGGGCTTCATCGGATTCCCATGGGATTCTGAATCACAGGAATCCGCCGATCCTCCCTTGGATATATCTATGGTATAAGAACGAAGCCCAACGACAATTGTAACGAGGAGGAAAACATCAAAATAAGGTGTTTAGTTTATTTTGACCAGGGGGATATAACAGCGACGTCATTTTTCAACAGTCACTTTCGAGACTTGAAGTATTTCGTCAATATCTGTAAAACAAGAACTACTGGAAAATGTTTTCTACTCAAAATACTTAGCATTCACTCTAGAAATTTTGAAGACGTCATTAAAATCGGAGACATCTTGAATATGCATGATAGAGACACTTAGAAATTTCCTCCGAATTGTTAAAGAATTTCACATGATATATTTTCGTTTATAAAGTGATGAAAAAAAAAGATTCAGTTAATATGAAGAAAAATAGAAAGTTCGTGCACTGTCATTTATTTGAACCATGTGATATATATTAAGAGGAATTGATTCGACAAAGCATCAAAAATTCTTCGCGTGCCTTTGAATCTGTAAGAAAAGTGCCGAGCATAGCCGATGTTGTTGTGCGCGTATTGACTTTTTCCGCTCCACGCATGATCATACACATGTGTGCACACTCGACAATGACAGCAACGCCTCGTGGTTCAACAGCTTCGTCTATTGCTTCGGCAATCTGTCGAGTTAGACGTTCTTGCACTAGAAATAGGCCATATGAAACAAAATATTTTTAGTCATTAGTTAAATGCTCTGACCTTGAAGGCGACGACTGAAGATCTCGACGATTCTGAAATAAACATGATGTATATTTCTTTTTCAGCTTTAATTTAACAATTCACCTAGCAATTTTACTCAATCCAATAACTCGATTTTTGGGGAGATAGCCAACCGATACTTTGCCAAAGAAGGGCACCCTATGGAAGTA